GGAAGTAGGAAAGGGGGAGGGGGGGGAGAGAAGGCAAAGAGGCTTTGGCGGGGAAGTTGTGGACAAGAGGGGAGAGGGGAGGAGGGGCGAGGAAAGAATTAATGAAGGGACAACGATCAAGAATCAGGTTGCTGTTTGGCACTGCTTTCTTGCTGCTGATCGTGGTTGATGTCACGTTTCACCCTCTGGCGGCTTGGATGAACAAGCATGCGTTCCTTGTTCTAAAGGCATCATACAAAGTAGCGGTGAACCATGGAAATAACAAGTTAATAATCGCATTCCCCGCGGTAACGAGGGGAGATGATAAGATGGGCGGTGAGGTGGGAAAATGAGCGATACGGTAGTCTAATCATTTTCTGGATTCACGCATCAAAACCAAATTTCCAGCCCCTCCTCTATCTGCCCCTCCTCATCTTACTTGGACCCTGTTCTCGTCCGGATTTCTCGACGATGCAGGTTTCCGTATCCTCTAGCCTTGCCCCGGCCTTCCCTACAAGTTCGATTACGGCTGCCCCCACAGTTTATTCTCGGCCGTGCTCCCGTGACGGCCGGAATCGGGAGTACTCGTACAGTGCGCTGCGATAACTTACAGTACTGTATATACGCTCTCCCATGCGCAGGTGCTTGTCCCATAACATTCCCATCAGGAGCCTACCAGCGATGCCGCATACACCCTCACCTCTGGACCGATCCGTTTGCACAAACCCAGTCCCACACGAACCATATATGAGCCCTCTTTCCCGCGCGGTTCCTTTACGATGCGGTGCGGTGGTGAGCATTGACCAAGCACGTAGCCGGCAATCGGAGGGGGTAAAAATAAAATGGGAAGAATCCACGTTTAGATATCTCGTGAGAATGCCACGAATACCGCCTCCACGGAAGGCGGTCGGAGGGAAGAGGAAGGTTTCCCAGGCTCCCTTTTTGCTTGCTGGGGGGAAAAGGTTGATATCACATGTGTTTGCTTTGTGGAGAGACTGGGGCAGAATTACAACAACGGGGGTCTAGAAGCGCTACAATTACAACTTGTACCGGTACCCGTACTGTGGTTGTTAAGGCCAAGCCAGATCGTGGAACTGACACGTGGAATTCATGGTCCAAGCTTTTTTTCTTTTCTTTTCGCTCCAGCACTGGCACCGTGGTGGGCACCTATGGCACTGCAGTCCCAGTACCGTACTTTGCCCGTGAGTTAATCATAAATTACCAGTATGATGCCGTGCAAGCAATTCAATTTGATTACATAATAGATACAGAAAAAGGGAGGAGGGCGTTGGCAAAAATAAAGAATCCATCCATGGGTAATTGGGGATTTTGCCATTTCAACGAATGCCGCTTCTATCGAAAAATCAGGAAACGCAGGGCTGGGGTGAGGCGTCTTCCGAACGTTCGCATATGGCCATAGTCTACTGTACCTTCAAAAGCTGGGAAGGATGTGGTGGTTGTGGTTGGAAATTTTCCGGGATTACCACCGTGTCTGTTTTTGGTTGATCGCCAGGTGCCCGGCCCCATACTCGAGTAGTCTACCGGTGAGAGCGGACTGCGGATTGGTAACCGTCCATCTCCCAAATCTCCGTGCCCGATATGCAGTGATGATTTGATCGCATCCATAATACTCGTAGATCATGCGGTTAATAATTCTATACAAGAATCACTCTCTTCACTTATCAAACCCATTTCTCAGAGGTATCACGATCTTCGATTTGCTCCATCGATCAGAATCCTTCTCTAGTCTTGTTGCCCGGAAAAAAATCCTCCCCATCACCTTCACCACCGCCAACAGCCAACCACTCAATGCCATATTTCGCTTCTATGATACGTCATTGTTTTAGAATTAATTGCCATGGAGCTTTTGAATTGAGTGTCGACACGACCGGCTAGAGACGAGGGAAATTTCCCGACTATACCTGACGCTTCAAAGTTGAGCATCGTACCCAAAGAATATTTTGTCCTTGTTTGGGGTACGGTGCGGTGTGCAGATTTTCTTTTTTGTTTTTTCCCTACAAACGCCCGCGCAAGATTTCCGAAATCCCTCATCTTCCACCAAAAGCCGCACCAGCACCACCGGCGCCCCCTCCCTGCATCATAGCTTGGTTCTGTTCAGCGAACCGCTGTCCTAATCTGTCGCTGGTCTTGATGAATTTGTCGACGCATCTGCTAACGCAAGTCTCCTCCTTTGTGGACAAGGCTTTCGAAGTGAAATCGTTGATACAATCATCGAAGCATCTGCGGTTGGACATGCTTTCCGTTTTAGTATTGGTTCGGATATAAAGGGTAACAACTCAGGTTGTTAATAAATTAAGGGGGTTTGCAAACAAATAGAAACGAACCTTTGGACAAGGTTGGAATAGAACTGTTAACGATGCCGGCACCACAGCTCCCGGATGTCAGTCAGAGCGCAAGAACAAGATAAGCAGCGGGGTAGGAGGGGCACGGATTGAAGAGGATGGGGGGTTAAAAAAAGATGAACAGGATATAGGACCACCGCCAAAGGGGAGCTAAATATAAAACGGAAGCGGATTCACGTGAGAAGGGAAACGTACCTGCATCATATCTCGTGTTTGGCGTTTCTCGAGGACGGATTGGAACTCACGCTGTTCGGAAGGTGAAAGGCTGTGACATGAGTGAATCCCCGCCACAAAAGAGGGGCGTAAGGTGATCAGCAAGGCAGCATTACGCACGCAAGGACGCATCGTAGAAACCCGGACAACCGAACAGTGTGTCGTGCAGTTGGAGCTCCCTCCCTTGGAAGGGAGGCACAGCTGCTCAGCTCTTCTGAGACATGAGAAAACAAAAGACGCCAAACCTTGCCGGGGGAGGAAGCTCCACCGGCGTAGCACTTGGTTTGGTTGTCCGAGTTCTTACGGCAGCCCGATTGAAGGGGACGACGGCAGTGGCGGTTGAGGTAGAACTCACGAGTCCATTGTGATCTTGGGTGTGTTATCTGTATGTGATGCCGGGTAGTGGTGGTGGTGGTGGTGGTGGTGGTGATGAGCAACGTACTGCAGAGTATGTGTCGGGGATAAGCCACCTGTAAAGGTGACTCGGCCGTGGTATGATAAGTGGTGGTGGTGATGGTGGTGGTGGGGGAAGAGGAAGGTGGCTGATGGTTAGGGGTATATGATAGCGTATGATACCGGTACGGGTACAGTACGGTACAGGTGTGGTAGAGTGCCGTACGATACGGTACTCGAGATATTGATTGATTGCAGTGGGGCAAGGGTTTGCCCGAGATTCGGGGGGACTGGTGGCGCTGACGGGAAGGGGAAAACTGGCTCTCTGGGAGAGGAAACAGGTATTTTTTTTTTTTTTTGGCTTCCTTCCTCTTTCCGCTCCTCTCTTTTCCTTTCCTTTCCTTTCCTTTCTCTTCCCTGCCCTTGGAAGAGAAGGGAAAAAGGAAGGAAGAGAAGCCTGATTAGCTGTGGTGGGAATGACTGGACTCGCTTACCCTGCTTTTGGAAAATAGAAATCTATATAAAGGACTAGAATAAGAAAAGGAGAAGGAAGGGGTGCAATTATTATCCTCTTGGCACTTGTTGATCTCATCCTTTAGGATGCAAAAAAAGAAGCAAAAGGCTTGAGGCAGGGGTGGCAGTCACAGGCCAATCGACGTGTTTCTTCTGTTTCTGTGGAGGTACTTGAGTAAGTTACCGTTGGGTTCGAGTACTCGTACAGTACCATTCTGTGGAATTTTTTTTTAGTAGACACCGGTACCGGTACCGTACCGTATACGTTCAGTGTCGTAGCTCTCGTCAGGTGTGGTGAAACCCGTGAGCTTCCGGCAGGCCCTTACGAGCTATTATGGGGACGAGAGCGGGTAGAATGGACAAAGACAGTTGAAGAATGTTTCGACCATGTGTGTTATGACCATCATCATCATCGATACCGGTACCGGTGCAGAGCACGCAGGTACAGTACTTGGCCCGGACTCCACCACTGTCTCCATTACAGGTAGGCTATGATATGATATGATACTGGTACAGGTAGCGACAACAATGCCCTCCGCTTCACTGCCCTTTGACTTCAACTCGTCTTCACCACGCACACACTCCCCCAAAACATTGACCTTGCCGAACCAACCAACTCTTCCAGTCCAAACCCCTTCCCCGTGTGCTTGGGTGAGCCCCTTTGCTCAGGTATTTCTGTCCCCTACGAGCCCGCGCGTCCTGGAGGCACCGATCGGCCGGGTCATCTACTCGAGTAAATTGCACTCTCTCCCACGAGTAAAAAAGCCTACCCTTTTTGCACTCCTGCCTTTCTAATACCTTCCTCTTTTTCTGGTCTAACGGCCCCCCTTGCTCGATCACCACTCGTCGAGTCCGGAGGGTCAGCCTAGCAAAGTCAGCAAGGGGGGGGGAGAGTGTCAGGAATGTGCTGTGGGCCAATGATTGTCTGCCCTGCCTGAGTCCCTCATATCACCCCTCCTCTGTCCGTGTCTTTGTCCAGAGAATCACACTCTTTCTTTCTCTCTTTCTTTCCCTTTTTTTTCTTTTTTCTTCCATTTTTCAAGTCAGCGCCCCTCTCCGTAGAGCACGGTGTCCGTGCTTTGCAGTGCTGTGTGGTAGCCCCTGGGAAAAATCTATTGTGGTCACTTAGCACTCTCATGCTTTTTTACGGTAGCACACGCTTTCGTATTGTGTCACTTTACCCACGATACAGTAGCAGCTGTCTAGAATTACTCCTGGCATTACCGTAGACTGGCACTCCTCAGTCAACGCCGCTACCACCCACAACCCCCCCCCCCCCTCGAGAGACAAGATCTAGGAACTTTTCGGTGTTGCTTTCTGGGGCTGCACTTGTTCAGCCCATTCTCCTGTCGCTGCCTTCTGCTTGCTTTTGCCGAACGCGCGCTTCTTACTCACCTCCCCTTTCCCCGACCGAATGCTATCTCCTGCGCTCCTCCGACCGAGACCCGACCCTTCCAAATCTCCCCGCTGCAGTACTTCTACTTCTTTTCATCCCCTGCCCTTCCTTCCCCTCGCCCCTCCCCACCTTCGCTCAAACGTCTTCCCTTCTCACTGGCTGCACCATATTATTGATTGTCCCGACATACATAGAGTACCCACGCCTCTGCCCATACAGGATTGCCGCCATCCCTTCCCAGTGCATCGTCTGGCTCCTTCCACACCCTCACAAAACGCTCGCATTATCTTCGCTGGTCTCGGTTGCCCCGGTTTGGGTGCCGTCAGTTGCTAGCCACCTGTACCAGTTACCCATCATACATACATATCGTTTGCACCTCCTCCCTCCCCATTTCGATTCGACCCGCATCAACGGCTACATCGAAGCGTGCTTGGAAGAGGAAGGAAAAGGAAAAGGGGAGGTGAAAAAAAAAAAAAGAGGGGCTATCTTCACTTGGGGCTCTCTCCCCAAGCTGTGACTGTGCTAGGCAGTTAGCGCTTCTGTGGTCAGCCGCCGGTGTTTGAGGAACTTGTTTTCCTTTGAACGGCAGTTAGGCTCAACACTTGAAGGCGGTTCCTGGAAGAACAAGTGGAAGAAGGGACCGATAGATAGGGGAGCCGAACGATATGGTTCCAGCGGGTGAGCTCTTGCCCAAGGCTCATTCAGGTTCTCCTCCGACAAATCCGTCGCTGGTGGGCTGGTGGGAAAAATTCAAGAGAAAGCCCGCAATGAAGTCAGAGGGTAGAGTTCCCATTTCCGACTGTCCCCTTGTATCCGTAGATAGAACAATCTGTGGGTTCTCGGGCTTGCACTGATTTTATTAGTAGAGCACCCAGCAGCAATATTTTCCGTGCCATTGCATAAGAGCATACAATACGCCAACGTCGCAATTTCTCTTACGGATGCCAAAGGCGAACAGTTTATCTATGGCTATGTTCCTATAGTGGTTGCTAAGTGTGGTGTCTTTTTGAAAGAGAAAGGTTCGTCTGATCAGAATTTCCCCCGCCCCCCTCAATTGTGAATTTTTTTTCTTAATTGTGTGCCTGCGCAGCTACCGATGTTGAAGGAATCTTCCGTCTGAGTGGGTCTGCAAAGAGGATAAAGGACCTACAAACGATTTTCGATTCTCCAGACAGGTATGGAAAAGGCCTGGATTGGACTGGTTACACGGTCCATGATGCAGCAAATGTTCTCCGGCGTTATCTTAATCAGCTTCCTGAGCCTATAATTCCTCTGGAATTCTATTCCCGGTTTCGTGAGCCATTGATAACCCAACCGGAGGGCGAGGAAGTTCTCTTAGCTATTCGGTCGTACCAGTCTCTTATCTCCCAACTTCCGCCCCTCAATCGACAATTGCTTCTCTACATATTAGACCTTTTGGCGGTTTTCGCCTCCAAAGCGGAGCAGAACCTGATGACTGCTAGCAACCTTGCAGCCATTTTCCAACCCGGCCTGATATCACATCCCAACCACGATATGGCGCCTGGCCAATACAGGTTGTCCCAGGAGGTCCTAGTGTTTCTTATCACTCACCAGGATCACTTTTTACTTAGCATGCAGGGGGGCAGGGATCAGGGTCAGGCTAGCCTAGGCGTGCCAAATACCCCCTCGTCTCCAAGATTTCCGGGGAAGGTGGTCGGTAGGTCACCCTCAAGTGCTAGCGCTGGGGCGGGCAATGTGAGAAAATATGGTGGGGTACGCAGAAATGTCTCGGCCACATCTCGGAGGTCTAGTGGTAGTCCAGTTGTGGGCAGCTTTGGAGCAGCAGTAGGAGTTGGTGGTGGCAGTGGCTTGAATCGGAGTAATACTCTTCCCTCCAAGCGATCTCCTGCCGTGCGACCGACGCCCTTTGCACCAGGAGACGTTTCGCCGAGCCCTAGTTCCCCACACACTCTGACGCCTGCATCAAACGTCACAAGGTCCCCCTCTGTTGGGGAACAGATGGGCGAAAACGTCAGCACTCCATCTCCAGACACTGCTCCAGCTGAGCCGAAACGTGAAACTCCAAGCACGTCTTCGCCCAGAACTAACATTTCTGGACAGGCTCCTAGGGAGCCCCCCAGAGACATTCTAGAGACTACTCATGTAAAGCCTCAGCCGGTCGTAACACCCACAAAGGAAAGGACATTTCAGAATTTCTTCTCTTTATCCCCTGAGGGCGATAGGCCTAGTAGGCCCACCAACAAGTTAAAAAAAAGGCGAATTCCAGGAAGCGGTGGCAATTCCGCTGAGTCTTCAACAACATCTTTACCAAGTGTCGGTGGTGGACAGAATTCCAATGGACCTGCTCCGATCTCCTATGCAACGCTTGAGCCCAGTAAGCTATTGTTCCCTCGCCCGCAATCACCACCTCCACGCTCGCCGAATATAGGCATAACTTTGCTTTCGAGCTTTCAAACCAAACAAGCCTCTGTGGGTAATCCACCTTTGGCCCTAATGCCTGCAATGTCACCTACACCATCAGCAACTTCAAGTGTGACCAGTCATAGCAGCACTCCTTCCCAGTTAGACACGGCTACAAATCCTGCTAGTTCGCCGGGAAAGACGGGGCGGCACCGGCGCCTGTCGAATCCACAGTTTGAGAACCCACCCGTCAGCTCAACTTCCCCAAACAGCGGTGGGTCCAGCGGCGGTCTCCTGGAGAGGATAAGGAGGGCCTCTCGGAGTCCGCCGGCCCGCCGGAGAAGTGTTAGTGGAGAGGCCTCCCGCCCCGTTGAAGAGGGCAGCCATGCAAAGGCGCCCAAGAATATTTTCGGATGGCCGCAGAGGAGCACCGATGAACGAAAGCAGCACCCCGGGCGTGAGAGGGAAAAGGAGAGAGGGGAAGAAAAAAAGAAGGAGAGACAGAAAACAGAAAGACAGGTGGCTCCTCAAATAGAACAATTCATACATCCCAAGAATGCTCCCGCGCAGCCTTATACGCCTAGCTCGCCTTTGGTCCAACCTCCTACCCCATTATCTCAGCATCCGCTAGATATGCCTTCACCCATGTCTCCGCTACAAGGGAAGGGAGCTTCGCCCCCCGCGGTCGACGGCCCCACTGGGCAGCCGCGGAAACCCACATTGTCAGCCGGGTCCGGGCAGGGTTCGGAAGAGACGATCCGAGGCGTGAGGCCCAAGGAGGGCTCGGCACGAGTATCAGTGCCGGGAGAATCAATTGAACCAGAGGGCCGGGCCCCATATCAGCTCGCAGAGGCAAGGGTGCCAGAGCAGCCCGAGCCCAAGGTTTAATGGGATACAACGCCTCTTGAGCACAAACGGGAAACTAATCGGATAACGAGCCCTCGCTTCCCCTCCCCCCTCTCCTGTGTCTGCTATGGGAAGTCTCCCTGTGTCTTCTTCTATGCTATGTACTCCTTTCCTATGTCTATAGTAAATGAGGGATGAGGTAAAGATATTCATGGAGTTTTCTTTTTCTTTTATGGTGCTTTGCTTTCCTCTTCTCACGGTGGGCAAGTTTCGAGTCCTCCTCTCTTCTCCCCTCCCTTTCTTCCTACGTTCCCCCCCCTCCCTCTTCTCTTCTATTGTGCGGGGGCCTTGTCTACGATATATATGCCCCACTATACGCTTTTTCTCCAATTTTTTTTTCTTCGTTTCCCTTTCTCCCTGCTACTGACTTGGTGGGTGGGTGTCTGCGGGGACACTTCCCTTCCTTGCGTAGCGGCGATGGAGACGTGATTTGAAAGGAACGAAAGAAGAAAAAACAATAAAAAACTCGGCCAACTTTGAAGAAGCGGGGGCAGGGAGGGGAGTTTCTGATGATTTATTTCCGCAGTACTTGATTTTCAATTTTCGATTTACTTTTCTACTTCTACTTCCTCTACTTGTCCTTGGCGGCGATGGCGGTGATGGTGATAATGAGTAAAATAAGGCTGAAGCATGATGATACCATCCCCGCTCTCGCGGTTTCTCACTCTGGTGTTTTTTTGTTTTTTTGTCTAGTGTGGTCTTGTCTAATTGTGGGGTTGGCTAGTTGGCTACACACGGTAATTTAGCTGGGAGGTAGGGTATGATTACGCTTTTTTCCTTTCTTACTTAGCGCTGGGTTTGGCGGGGAGTTAGCTTGGTTGGGTTGGTATACTGTATGTATGCATGTATCATGCCGGTATGTACTCGAGTATGCGTAGGATGGATTAGATGTGGGTATGGTGGTTCGGTGGTAATAGTATGGGTTAATGATTGTGGTTATCGCTTTTTAGTTTACAAATTTAGAATTTTTTTTGCTCCGGGGATTGGCTTTCTTTTTTCCTTTCGCCCAAAGTCTGGGGATATGATAGGTGGTAGGTATTTGGGGGGTTGTTTAGGTGGTGCCGTAGCAGCACTTGTGGGTCTGGCTGCCGCCGAGTCACTGCGGTATGGTATCATAGAAGTTATGATAACATTGCAGGCATCCCCAGAGAGCGTAGGATGGGTGATTCATGCTGTAAGCTAATTTTCTATCGAGCCGTTCCAAAGGACATATGGCATATTTGGCGAGAATGGATTCCACGCCACATAGTTCACATCCCTACAAACACCTAGGCTAATAGCCTGCAAACCTGCCCTCGATCCCTTCACAACTTATCACTCGTAGGTACTAGCATCGGGTGCAATAGGGTGCGTTATACGGCACGGGGCGGGATCTGTCCGTCAGGACCCCGAAAAATACAGTATCGGAGAAACCAGCCACGAGGATATTATCCGATTCCGGGCCGCAGGTAAAATATTCAAAATTCTCTACCACGATATTATATGATAATCCAACCTCGGGGCCGGATTAAAATTCCTCCCACTACAAATGCGAGGCCGGTTATTTAGCGAGCTCGCAGAATGCCCTGAATGCAACTAGGTCCTCCTCCGCCTCAAGTTCGAGTGCAGCTGTAGCACCAACGAAATACACATGCCCACTGTTTAGTGTTTCTGTTTTAGGGCCTACCGAAATTTTTCCTTTACCACTGGTCGCAATGACGATGCTCGGTCCTTGGATGGGTTCGAACTTTTCCGAATCCCCAGACCTTAGTCCAGTCTTCACGACAGCGAATTCTTCAATAGGGGGATCGTAGAGGATCGAAGTAGGATCAGATCCAGAGTTGGACCCATGAGGGTAGGGGACTGGTTTCATCTTTTGTTCGGAGATAGGGGCGTAGGAGTAGGTGAGCATCGAGACAAGGTTCTTGACGTCCTTGTATTTTGGCGTAAAACCTGCACGAACCACGTTGTCACTCGCAGCCATGCACTCAACAATATCTGCATGCCGTGCATATTAGTCAACCCGCCCCATGTGGTACCGGTAGTGGCTGGGGCATAGACAAACCTCCCGAAAGATAAGCGTGAGGATCGTTTGCCTGCAGGAACATTGCTTCGCCAGGTTGCAGCTTGACATAATTCAAAAGGAACGAGCAGAATAACCCGATGTCTCCCGGGAACTGTCCGTCCAAGCGGACAATCAAGTCCGCGAATTCCTTCCCACCATGCTCCTTTCCTCCAAAAGACTCTGGGATCCGCTTTGCAGATTCTACGAGTTCGCCAGCCAGTTTCTTAATTTGAGTCTCCTTAGAGGTCATAACGGCCTCAAACAAGCCCCTCAAGGCTCTTTTGTTAGCAGCTATAGTTGACTCGTCACTAGCATCTTCCTTGCCCATAACAGCTGCAATAAATAGATCTGCCTTGGATTCGCTAACGAGTGCACGAAGTTGTGGGGTCGATTTCAAGAAGGACACAATTTCGGAGAGAGGGCGGAAGCCACAGAACCCGTCGAAGGGAGTGACGGCAATGGTCATCTCAGGCTTGTGGTTGTCATCTGATTGTACATCACAAAACTTTCAGTTACAAGTTCTATTCAACAGCGACTGAAGAGTATACCAGGGTAGTTCTTCGGGTCTTCGCTGTGCAGTCTTTCGGCAAGATTCTTGTCAGGGTGGGCCTGGATGCTGAGAGCTTTCTGAATCGATAGAATCTTGAAAAGGAAGGGCAGCTTTCCTCCATATTTTTCCGCGATATCGTGGGAGAGGAGGGCTGTATTGCCATTGACAAGATCTAGGAGGGTACGCCCAGTGTTTGCATCCTTAGATGGATTTGATGGATGAGTTCCCATCCAGAGCTTGGGGTAATTAGCAAGGCAACTCTAAGGATGTAGTAGCATAGGCACCTCAGCATAAGGCTCTGATTCCTCAATCTTAAAACCAGATTGGGTAGTTGCGGCAGCAAAACGAGCGGCCGCCGAATCGTTTCCAACCTTTCCTGCACACAATTGCACCCCGCATGAGCATAGTTCAGCTTATCCGGGCTTAAAGAGAGCTTACCCCAATCATAAGAATTTGCGCCTGAGCCCCGCAAATCAGTTAGCCTTGAATATCCTCAAGTCGAGTTATGGGTAGAAGGCCTACCGCATTGAAGCTGGATAAGTGGGACCGGAAGCATTTTGGACGATTGCTGTGAAATAGTGAATTGTAGTAACAAATATATGAAGATTCTCCCGATGCCTGGAAGGAAAATAGGCCAGAAGAAGGAACTTTTATCAAGGTTTGCTCGAAAGCTGAAAAACTGGATGGGAGCTGCCGCCCCTCCCCCGCTCAAGCACGGGCCAACTTGCAATGTTGCTGAATCATCCTGGATGCAGGGATAGAGCTTGCACTTCTTCGCTCTGTAAGTGCACTGATCCGCTTCAAAAAACCTTTGACCTCTCTCCTCACCAAATTGCCTCGAGAACCCCGAGCAAAATTGGTGTCCTACTAGCTCCCGCCAAGCACAGCTCTCTTCACCTCAGGATCAGCTAAACCTACTCATTATCACCACCCAAAAGAGCCTCCTCGCTCGCTAACGCAATGCCCCCAAAGCAAACGAAGGGAGAGTACATCGAGACGGTATGCGCGCGCAAGAGAAATCCCACTCCTTCAAACAATCCCACAATAACAACTCACGCGGTGATCAAAAACATGACTTAGGACACGGGGAACAAAGTATCCCGTAAATCCGTCATTCTCGGATCTCAAAATATCATCCTCGGCGGAAAGGTGCCCATCACCTTGTCAATCTACTCTTTTGGCTCGATATGGAAGTTAACTGGGAAATGTGGGGGGGTCGGAGGGGGGATAAGAAAAGACTATTATCCAAGCTGATTGCACCATTCGCGGAGACCTTCGTCGTACCGTTGCCCCAGGCCAGAATAGTGGGAACGTCGCGATAGCCGTCGGTCGTTATTGCTTTCTCTCCCGATCCAGCGTTCTGCGACCTCCTGGGAGGACGCATCAAAAGCCAGTACCTACCTATGTACCACATGGGCCTCCGGCTGTACAAGGAGCTGACTAGTTGCCGCTGTGTAGGACTTTCAGCTACTACCCTATGAAAATTGGAGATCATGTCTTCGTTGGTGAAGGTTGTGTGGTCGAGGCTGCGTTAATTGGCTCCTACGTTCACATTGCCAAAGATTGCGTTATAGTCGGTTTCTCTCGCCAGTCTTTTGACTTGATCCTCGAACTTACTGACTTGTCATCATCAAACACAGGGTAAGTTTGCGATTATAAAGGATTGCGTCAAGATAGAAGAGGGCACTGTCATAGCACCAAATACTGTTATTCCCTCGTTCTCGCTTGTTTCAGGGCGTCCGGGCGTAGTAATAGACGAGTTGCCGGAGACTGCACAGGAGGGGCTTGAGTGTAGGTCACCCAACCATCTTATGAGATCTATACGATAGCTGGTGTGCAGACCCTAACTATTGACTAGTGAAGAACATATACCGGATGATATAGAGCTTTTCCTTTTGCGAACCCTTGCCATAATAGTCTTTTCTCTCTTGCCCCCTCTTCTACTTAAGCTCTTAAATATCAGTGTCCCCAATATCCACCCTCGTCCTTCCTTTTGAGCACCATAGAATGATATCTTCGGTCAATTGGTCATATATAACTATGGCACCCAAGATGCGAACCCAATCGAACGAGACATTACCTCCATTATAATATTGCATCCATTTTTAACCTTCCGTATTTAGAGTGGGGTAAAGTACCCTAGACCCATAAATAACCATACACTGTAAGCCCTAATGTCTCCATAGAGCGCCCGAACCTACCCAGATTTCGGACACTAGAGATAAACTCCGGGGGGCCGCAAAATTCTCCCCGCCAATGAAACCATCAATCCGAGCTTCTTCGTTTGCTCTGCGTAAAGCGGACTGCCTTGGCTATGCGGCGCGGGCCCACGTTGCGGCCACATGCAGACCCTACCCATCACCTCCTCCTCACTCTCGAGGTTTCCCTGTGCTATGCTCCGCAGTCGAGTAAACCCGCCGCTTCAGATCCTCCCCCCCATAAGCAAGCATTAGGCCATCAACCTGCGGACCCCTACACCTAGATTATACAGAATCCCAACCCAGCCCCGTATGCTGCAGAAGTGTCATTGAAGTGCTCTTCATGATTGGCGCAGTAGGGTTTTCTATATCCGTTTCACCCCCCGCTATAAGTGCATATTAGTAGCAATTGAAGGCAAGGCATGGCTTACCAGGTGATTTGCCATGATTCAAGTGATACGTGTGGTTCCGCTACCATCTTGCTGGCTTAGGCGTGATTGATCATCTACAACATCATCCGAGTGACCTTTACCTAACATCCCGCCCAGGCGCCTCCGAGCATCAAACACCCAACCGGGAGCAGCCTTTCCACTCCGATCAAGACTCTTGATACTCACATACCCTAGGCCCTGCTGAACCTGGCTACCTCTCCCAATTCAAACAACCCGAGAAGTCCGTCGAGCCCGAAGAAGTGAAAACCCTCCCAAGATCCCTCCTTTGCTGATCCTTGATGCCCAAACACCCCCAATGCCAAAGTCACCCATCTGGCAGCCATGAAAATTGGTTGGTACGCATCACGTAAAAAAAAAGCAGTATGATAGCACAACATAAATATTGTACAAATAAGCCTCTCAATCTATCCAAAGAACCCATCAAAAAAAAAATGTCCGGCGCCTGCACTCTCCGTCTGAGATGGTTTCAAAACTAACCAACCTCCCTCCGCACGTTTACTGCATGGAGGATGGCCTTGTATTCGGTCCCTTTCAATCGTTCAGGTGTGATGCTATCTCCCATAGGTCGGGTTGAACCCTTGCCGGGAGGTCTTCCGGGCTGAAGGGGGGGGGGGGGTCTGCACTTGAAGGTCAAGTTCGCTGGCTCTACATGGGCGAGTATGATAATTAGAATAGATCTACAGCATAATATAGTACAACGCACTAAAGTTGGTTTGAAAAGTGCGGAGGGAGTCTAAATAAGTCACCCAAGATCTCTTTTAAGAAGGAATATCATACGGATCTCGAGCGATCGCTCAAAAACCCGGAGGAGGGAGGAGGGAGAGGCAGTTTCTGGAGCAAATGGAAAAAGTATGATATATGGAGTAATCTAGGGCAGTGGTGTTTACGTTTATGGCGGGGCATAAATTATCCATCTTATGAAACACTGAGAGCGGAGAGGTGCAGATGTCAGGAGTTTGCAGATGGTTAGTCTATGACATGTCAAATATCATACCGTAGTTCAATGTCGAGTAGTAGGTCGCGATGCTATCCTCTCCTCTCCTCCACAATTCAGCGGTCGAGAATAAGAACTGATATAAAAAAAACATGATGCACTGGATTGTATTGCACAGGGCTGGTGATAAAAATCACAGGGAGCAACCACGTATCAGAATATCGGCAACCCTCAACTATGCTCCAGTAATCATGTTATCTTATCCACAGGAATAAGGGAAAAAATTAGAAACAAAATTAAAAGGAATAGAAGAAGTACATGAGAATGGTTGAGAATAAAGCGGAATACTTGACAGTATTTTTTTCAGTTGGGTGGGGATCCTACTACCAGTTCTGTAAATTAGAGCCCAGTCTTTAATCCATTGCACCCCAGGAAAAAAGCAACATACTCGAGAAGATTCATATGGACAGGAGCAATAATGGATTCGAGTACCCGGTTTAGGCAGTTTTAAATAATACCCCCTTTTGAAACATACATCATACCAAATTGGAAGATTAAAAGAGACTTTTAATTGTACTAGTTAATAGTCTTCCATATTATTGAGGATTTATGACTACTATAAGGAGTATTGCGTACAATAGTCATGGTGGCACTTGCTAGGAAGCCAAGTGGTCTACTAGATAATACTTTCTTTTTCCAGTATCATAGATTACAATTGCATTCATTAGAAAACTTTAATATATAGGGTTGCGACTACTCTACTGACTCGTAGTTAGATATGCTCAGGCTCATAACCATATTTTTCCACTTCCGAGTAGGCTGCATTTTCTGATTGATTAAGGAATGACTTCTTGCAAGCCTTGAACCTTACATAAATACTTAGCTAGTAATTATCGCTGAAGGTGTACTTATTTATACCTCTTAACCTAGTAGTAACTTCCACCAACAGGGTCATTATTCCTCCGAGCCACTTTGGAGACAGGGTGTTAAACCCCGTATATCATGTCTGTCAAGCTAATGCAAGCATCCAGGATCATTTGGTTGGCATCATAACCGCCAGCTGCTGTAACCTTTTTCTAATTCCGGTACTCATCGTTTGTTATGGTCCCCTGGCTTGCTAGGGAATCTCCGGCTGCGGTAACCCGGTGTTGAGTAATGTAAGGGTACAGTTTCACATCAGTGCATGCTATCCACCATGTGGAGGATTTCTGCCCGGGATTTTGTCACCGGCCTCGTGCGAATAGTATCCGTACTCCGATACGGTAGTACGGTGCTAACTTGCGCATATGAAATCAACCATCTCCGGGACGAAAGTCAACGACTCGGACGCACGCTTCAGAGCAACAAATTTTTTTCTGAAAAGCGAATTCAACAAAACTTTTCAGGATCAGTTTCCTCCCCCGCAAGCTCCATGGACTCTAATCCTTTACTAAGTGAGTATTGGTTGAGAACGGTAAGGTGGGCATTTTCAGGTATGATATCATACCGGTTGGGGAACGGGGGCAAATTTATGCCAAGGCCCTAATTATTCTCATGCGTTACTATGCCAACCAAGGGAACAAGAGGGACAGTTTTAAGCGTGGCGCGCGATACAAGCAGGGTCGCCGGGTTTTTTCGCACTGCACACCAATGGGAACGTGACATTGTCCGCGACTACGGCACTCGATAGCTCACTAACCGCATGCCACCAGGAGCCCACAGCCATATCTCAATTGTTCATTAATTCCGGCAGAACAGCACTACAGTACCCCTAGCATCCTCACACAAAACTCCGCGAAGATCCCCCCTCTAGTTCAAGCAAGACCTGCGCTTTCTCTGCCGAGTGTGGGGTATTATATCGTGAACGGAAATTAGTATCACAAACCGCCTGCATCACCCGGCCTTTATCCTTTCATGGCTTCGCTAGAGTTCCTGGCCACCGAACTTCTACTCAACATCGTCCAATATGTCGAGACCCCCGAAGAATTCACCACCATTAACAGGTCCGAGGAACAACCGTCGCTCAAAAACCTGTCCTTAACATGCAGGCGGCTTCGCGCTATATGCTTTCCGCTCCTATTCCGCTCGGTGAAGCTACCCCTCGAAAACGGGCACTCGCGCAGGAGCATCAAGGAGCTGTTGTGTTTCATACGGGAAAACGCTTTGGAGCGAACGGTCGAGAGCATGGGGCTGGCTATGGGGCCGCAATGGAACGGAGGGAAAGTCGGATTAGATTTGAAGAAGTTTCTGTGGGAGATCTCCGTGAAATCCTTGTCGATACGTCAGTACCGAACCCACCTCGGTCTCCGGGAGAAGTCAGCTCGGTGGCCTTACTTTCTCGCTGCGCTCGAGAGACTGCGGCTCGAAGAGGTGGACGACGATAACGACCTCAAAATGCTGCTTTTAAAACAGTGCCCTATTCGGCTGCTCCACGTAAACGATGGCAGCTTTCGCTCCCTGTATGAGGAGGACGATAACTACTTCCTGGGCAGGGCGGAACATGGGCCCGGAATTGCATCTTTCAAGCCCTCTGTTTTCCCCAACCTTACTACCGTAGTCTACCATGCTGCCTGGCCACCATATAACCGCTTCGGTAGCTTCCTCGAATTTGTCTCGAAATTGCCTGCTATCAAGGTGCTCGAGGTGAAGCTTATGGGGGATGAAGACCTTGAATTGGATCTCAAGAGGAAAGCCTACAAGCTCCCCCCTGACGCCGTCCGGTTCAGAGAAGTGGTTTCGGCATACCAAATATTGGCGTGGAGGGTAGGGACTATGGGTAGCTTGCAACTCCTGGTTATTCGTGATCACCGTATTCCCTATCACGGGGAGACAGACCCCCCACAATCCTTCGCCGAAGGCCCTCTTGGCACTTATCAGAGACAGAAGGACGCACAGACGTAGTGAATGGGGGGCCCAAGAACCGAGGCAGGGATTCTCAGGCGATGACAAGGAGGAAAGCTGCTGAACCGTACTAGGGGGTGGAACAAAGTTGGGTGCGTTTCCAAATCAAGAGAGGTAATTTTATGAAGACTAAGCCACGATAGGAAGTGTGAGTGATATCCTGTGAACAAAATTGGGGAGGGAAAAAAGTCGGGTGCGTTTTTGTTATTCTTATAGAAATAAAAACTAAAATACAAAGCTCAATATCTTGTTGCTCCACCATTAGCATCTATAACAGCTTGTAACCGGTCTGGCATACTTCTAATTAAGCTTTCCAGCCTAGTTTCAGGAATTGTATTCCAGACCGCATTTAATGCTGCTTCCAATGTAGGAATATCAGCAATTCTTCCCCATGTCTCCCCCAGTTCATTTTCCATATCTAACCATAGTGCTTCAATCAGATTTAGATCCGGAGACTGAGCTGGCCATGGTGTAGATTCCATTTCATTTAACCTCCGGTACTGAATTGCAAATGCCTTATGCCCCGGCGCACCATCCTCGACGACCGTAACCCAACTGTATTCCTCGCAACATTTATGCCAAAAAGGCACTAGATGCAGATACATGATCCTCTTAACATATTCTCCGGAATCTATTTTGGCTTTACCAGGAATAAGAGCCAGCTTAGATTTCAGAGTCCCACAAAAACCACCCCAAATCATCTTTGTTTGGCGGCCAGACTCAAAGGTCTCGTCAATACAATCTTCGTGAAACTCCTCTGAGGGTTTCCGCGTTACCCATGGCCGGTTGCCAAAACCCGCTGTCAAGAATGATGACTCGTCAGTCCAAAGGACACGAACCCAGTCATCATAGGTCCAATCCAGTCATTCCCGACATCAAGCGACACGAATGGGTCGATTTGCAGGACGGATAGCAAATTTTCGGCGAGGTACTCGGCGATGGTAACCCATTGAATGCATGACATTCTTCACTGTCCTTGGACTACACGCGTAGTTCATTTCCAAACAGATTTCCTCCCAGCAAAGACGCCTTGTCCTCGCATCGCGTGTCACAAAGGCTTCCAAACGCGCCTTTTCACCCTCGTCAAATATGGGTTTACGGCCGGTCCGTTGACAATTGGAGGGAGTCCCATTCTTTTTGGATCGATCATAAATCTAACTTTCAATTAGCTTCAGAAATTCTCAGAATAGGAATAATAACTTACTCACTTGCAGGTTCTTCGATCAATGTTTAGGTGCTGACCAATTTTCGTCCAGTGCCATCCAGCTGTATCCCGCAGGGTGATAACCATAAGGCGTTCATCACGTGTAGTTTCATGGTGCTGGACACCAATGGGGTTTTGTTCATGAACACCCTTTTCTTTCATGGCTTTTGCTCTGAATATGCACGTTGACCGTTTGGTATGGGAGGAAGGTAAAGGATGGTTACAGCAGGCCAAATGTGCCTGTTGTGGTAAAAGGGGTAGCATGGCTGGGATGGTGTGGCTTGTAGCACCGCACCCGAAATACCCTTACACCCGAGTACAGGTGTATGTGGTAATTGAGATTGGACACAGTTAGGGGTAAATATATTTTGTCGCTGCATTTATAGCCGTTACTCTGCCTCATAAGAGGAATACCGGTACGGTATATACAAGTACGAGTACATTGTATAGGAGTCGGATCCGTCCTTCCATACCCCGGCCTGACGTAGCGTTGTCCTGAAGGGGGTGGTAGTGTTCGCTGCCCACTACCGTACAGTACTGGTATTGCCCGTCTCGCTTGATAGTACATGGTAAAGGGTATCAGGATAATAGACGCTGCAAGTGCAAATATCGTACCGGTACAGCATGATGCTGGGACCTGCAAGGCAACTCCGAAACCAGTCACCACAGAGGCTATCGTGGATGCAGAATTCGGGTGGTGAGCTTAATATAGTACTGCGAGAGGTCAATCCGGGTTTTCCTATGATACTCACTTCGTTTCGTTAACCAGAGGAGACTGCTAGTTTCTCTGAAGATATATGTGCCATTTTTTCGTACTTGTTCCCACGAGATCCCCTACCGTACCTTCCTGTCTTCGGTGCTATTATCTATAAATACCTAAGAAATCGTGAGCTACTTTTGAGTAAACATTTCCCCTTGGCCTTCTCTTGCTTGTAGCTGTATCTGGTGGAAATTTGGTCTGACGGTGCCAGCCGAATACCGGCATACAACAAGCTGAAAGGCATGATGTTCAGGGTATGGTGATGGGGGTTGGTTGACATATCCAGTGCGGTCAGGTCGGAGTATCATACCGCACGCTACTGCGCAGTTAGAGTGGTGACAATTGTGAGAGTGAACCCCTTTTCAACATGATATGCCTATTTACCGGATCAGCGGCCTGCTATCGTTATTATTGCCCCGGTGAGCGGTAAGCAAGCTTTCGGCCCAGACATCGTCGATATGGAGCGAAAGTAAATGATATTGAGGCGAAATTTGCGTACTGTACGAGTACAGTACCGTACTCTACATTATGTTGTTGGCAAGTTTTTGCTTGGGCTACCGGTATTTCTCTCCCTATCATACTTTCTTCCTTTCTTTCTTCTTTTTTTTTTTTTCCTTCCCCTGCCTCAAGGGATCATCCGCCCTTCGCTGCCTGGGTCCAATTTACGGCCCCTTTTTTTGTGGGAGGACAATCCCTGACCAGCTTTTCCCTATTCTCGTTTCCGAACGTGCTCACCTCATCTTCAATTTCTCCCACCACACAAAATTTCCACAAACTACATCACACACCCACTTACACACAAATCTCCCCCTCCAATTATCCCTCTTAAAGCTTCCAGAGAAACAGCCGTTTCCCGCCTTCCCATTCTCCTACGGCTTCACGTCGAAAAGCTTCTCCCCACCCACGACACGTCTGAAAACTCGATTATCTTTTCGCGTCGGTTGTTGTCGCGGCAACATCCTCCGCCTTATACAATCCGGATAGTCCTCCCATCCACAAGGCTCTACGATACTGAGCTCGCTCCCCCCTCCTTTCCGTCTCGCCAAAACACCAGAACCCTCCAACCCTTTTCCCAAGACCCAAGGCCAAAACGGTCCGAATAAACACGTTAATCTGTCGCTACTCTTCTCGAGGGTAGTAGGATCACGGCTTCAAGATGGGTGGTTAGTGATCGGATCCCTGTTTGTGGATAGGGGATGATTTGAGAAGGCTAATATTTCCCAACAGGCTCCATATCAAAAATCATGGTAATACTTTACCGGAAGCATTTGTTTCTCATTTTAAGTGAGCTATTACTGATATTGGACCAGAGCAAGCTGTTTGGAACAAAGGAAATGAGGCTACTCATGTTGGGGTTGGATGCGGCTGGAAAGACGAGTGCGTTCCCGGAATTGCCCCCAGCCCCTCCCTATCGTCCACTGATTAGAGGCTAACTGTTATTACGTTATTATTGTTATTATTTCTGAATATAGCTATTCTCTACAAATTGAAGCTTGATCAGGACGTTACAACAATTCCGACGGTCGGCTTCAATGTCGAGACCGTAACCTACAAGAACGTCAAGTTCAATGTGTGGGTGAGTTCTTGGACGATTTCCCGATTACAAAACTTTTTGCGGGGTCGAAGCTGACAACTACTTGTTTACGTAGGATGTCGGTGGCCAAGACAAGATCCGTCCTCTATGGCGCCATTACTTTTCTGGTGAGTTGTCCAGTTCCACGACGCTCGCCCTGCCGTGCTTCGGTACGTCTAATCAATCTCTTGCCGCAGGTACCCAAGGTTTGATTTTTGTTATCGACAGTCATGACCGTGACCGTATCGACGAGGCAAGGCAGGAGTTGCACAGGATTATCCAGGACCGGGAGATGAAGGAGTCCCTCCTGCTAGTTTTCGCTAACAAGCAAGATATCCCCGGCTGTGAGTAATCCCTGTCTACCATTCCGGAGAGCCAATGCCGGAGTGTTGTCATTGGATCCCCCGGCGTGGGGCCGGCTCGCCTGCGTCAGAATTGAGCTGACATTCTATGCAAATTAGGCATGCCACCTTCCGAGGTTACAGAAAAGCTTCAGTTACACAAACTAAAGGATAGGGTCTGGTATGTGGTTCCTAGTTGCGCCACTACAGGTGAAGGGCTGTTTGAGGGATTGGTATGTTTTTTCTCATTTTACATAGGTGTTATTTCATTTGCCTAGGGGATACTATAAAGAAATTGACGCTGACTTCTCGCGACAGGGTTGGTTGTCCAATAATGTCAAGACGCAAGCTCCCGCTCGGAAGTAGATGGTCCAAGTCACTCCATACCGCCACAACTTCGGTTAGCTAGGGCCCATAATAGCACCAGGTTAGAACTTATGCTAAGGTCGAGTTGTATGATATAAGCCCTGGTTCGGACCACGAGCAAGGCCTGTTGGAGCCGTTTATTCACTTTTCACTGTCATCTCATGCTCTGGGTGTTTTCTTTATTTGGGAGCTTCATGTTGGTTATTGTCTTTTTTGTTCTATTTTCTACTACTTACCCACCTTACCTCTCTTTTAATTAATGAAGTCACGGATATTTCTGCCGATTCTTTACACCCTTTTCCTTTCTTCCCTCAATAACTCATTCATTGAACCCATCTCTTATACCTTCAGCGTTATCTATTTCTTTATACCCCGAAATTTCTCCCATTTCAAGAACACGCCCCCCCGCGATCTACATCTATTTTGATTTCTTTATCCCTCATGCATTGCATTTTACCCTTTTTACCTTTCATGATGCCCCACGAACGTCCGCACGAGAATCCAAATCCTTTTTATTCCCCTTTTTTTATTCCTTTTTTTTTATATTGTTTTTGTTACTTTTGGTTTATAGCTTTCACACCGGGTCCAGAACCGGGGGTCGCATTCTGATATTGCAATAATACTCCCGATAGTGGGGATGGACGGTGAATAGAGGGCTCGTTAGCACTAGTACTCCTGGGTGGCTGTTGTAGGACGTCGATGCGGCGAGCGGTGTGTCTGAAAGTAAAGACGTGAGGAGGAACGGGGGAAGGAGTACTGGGTAATGTGTAGTATAAGTCGGTAGCATGCTGAGAGAGTATGATATCTCTTTTTTTCTCCTTCTCCTTGGGAAGTTCAACTCTGAAGGTCCCGTTCGGTCCGTTTTTTTTGTTCATTTGTTCATTGTGTTCTGTTGACGAGAGAATGCGTAGCTTGTACGTGAAACTGTTGGCGCAATATTTCTGGCTACAGTGCCGCCGGTACCGTATAGTACCTGGAAACCTCGTGTACGAGCGAGGTGGCTGCCAATCCCCAATGACCATAAACCCCGCTACCGTTATCCACTTTTAATCATGCGGATTCCATCCGCCACCACTGGTGATGAGTAGAGTACCGTACTCGTACAATATGATATCGGTGCTCAGTGCGTCCACCCAGCCTACCGTACGGTACCGGTATGTCATAGCCTGACTCTACACTCGTCGGGACAATCGGCTCCACCCGTGAGGCTTAAAAGTTAATCTTGCCTGACAGGTTGGCGCTACTGCATATCACGGTCGGCATTCTCATGATACATAAGGCAAGTTTCGATATCGGTACCGTGATGGGGGGGTATAAGAATATGATACCGTACGGGAGTCTGTCAGGTTTTTGCGCCAACGCTATTATTACTCTTGCGGGGGGAATGCCGATGTGTTTTGTGCCGTGTTGTGCAACGTCATTGTGGTGGCCGAGTGTCGCGGGTTTTCGCCACTTTGCGCGGGCGTTAACCTGTAGCGAGTTGTGCTGGGTGGAACCACATTCCAAGACGTATAATTTATAAATTTAATAGCTGTGGTTGGGCTTGCGGGGGTATGATAGGAGGAATCGAGATTCAAGACCGGTACAGTAGTACCAAACCGGTGGTCTGGTTTAGTCCAGTCCGATATAAATTCGTGCTAAGTCTAACTTGCATTGAATAGATGGAACCCTTCCTTTCAGGAAGGGGGAAAAAAAGGCCCCCCCCTACTAACCACATTAATTAATATTGTGATGCTAAATGAATAGTCTAAACCCAGAGGTTACAAAATGAGCCTCGACGTTTACCCGTTTGGTTCCAAGGTAAAGACGAAAGGAAAGAAACAGTAAAATATGAGACAAGTGGATACGAGTGGTTATACACAAATCAATGGTACAGAGAGGGAAGGCGGTGGGGGGAGAAGAAAATTAGGAAGAGGAGAAAAATACATAATGCACCGAGTATGCAATTCCTTCTAATGCATTAGTAATTAGGAGTGATCAGTGAACAAAGGAAATATACACGAGGCAATTAATAGACGACTCCAAGGATGATTATGTGTAGCTCAGAAGCTGAAGAGGCCAGACCGCTTCTTGCCAAATGGGTACACCACCAACGCTGCTGCAAACAGACCGACCGTAATACCGATGGCCACCTGGATCATGGAGAATCCAAAATCGAGTACAACAGAGTTAAATTGGCCCGATTCCGGTGCTGGTGTCGCCGACGGTTTGTCGATCATAGCGTCTGCGTTCTGGATACCGGAGATTAAAGAGCCCTGGGCAGCGAGTCCGGAAGGGACCTGCACGAATATTGCCGGCAGCATAGCGGCAAAGGCTAGGCCGTGGCCGACTCTCGAATAGAGATTGCCTAAGACTCCGACCGCGAATGCTCCAAGGCTGTTGGCGACCTGTGGCTGGTTCGTGAAGTGTTGACTGGAAAAGAAGTTGATGGCATAGCCAACCATGGAAATCGCTATCATAGCTGGGGCCTGTCGCCATCTGGCTTGGTTAATTGTCAAGAGACTGTGGTATGGGTTAGTCTTATCGCTCTCTAAAGATTCGGAAAAATATACGTACCACCAGGCAAATGGGGGAACAAAGAGGAAGTTCCATTTCCAATCCAACGGATCCTGACACGTCGTAGCGGAAGTGGCATTACTATCAACAAGCCCGTAAAGAGCAGATCCAATCGTGATCCCAAAGCCAAGGAGCAGGGAGTAGACAATAGCGTAAAACATTCGAACTGATCCTGCCACTATATTCCTAGATTGGAGCTCGAGGGATCCGCATACTTAATACTGAGGGTCAGCATTTAGTCGTCCGCTAGTTTTGAGTAGACAGAGGACCACCTACATATGATATAACCAGGCAAAATCAGGGCAATAGAGGCCTGTGCTAAAGCGGAGAAACAGAAGACACTCCCCCCATGAATAGAGCCAAAGGCCCTCGCAAGAAAACTCGTTATAATGGCAGCCGATATTTCAAAGACATTCGACTGGGCAAGAATTAGCACAAATATCGAGTGAAAATACATGAAGAAAGATATACATAAAGCTCAGAGCTCGGTGCCACAATAAGTTGCAAGAACCCAAGAATACACCCAAGGGCAAAGAGGACAGGCATATCGATAAGCCGAGCCTTGAAACCAAAAGGCCCGACAGAAGCACTAGCAATACCAAAAACTGGTATCAGGATCCATGGGTTATGCTTTGGCTTCCGCTTCAGGATCTCATCCAGTCGTTTAGTGGCCTCCTCAACCCCAATCAAGTCATGGACAACCTCTTTATAAATCTCATGCGTGTCGTGAAGTTTCCCAAGGTCAACGCCTTGATTGGTCCTGACAATTTGCATCTCTGAAGTGTGCGTCGAGGAATCCCCAAAGGAGATTATCATACAGCCTGGGATATACAAGAACTGCCCATCAATCTCAAGAACCCGAGATGTCATCTTCATGTACTCTGTTTCGGGTCAGCAAAAATTCTAATAAAGAAAATAAAAACAAAAACGAAAGGGTTTCGGGCATACCTTCGAGTCTGTGAGTGGGGGCTCCATAGAGCATCAAGGATCTGCAAAGCTTCAGGATGTACTTTTGCCTTGCCAACGTTTCTGCAATATGAACAGTAATCTATAGCCAGTCGTTAGAACCCGTTCTACACGAACAGGGTGGACCCAGCCTGGATTTGGAACCAGAATGGAGGATAGCTCGCCTTGATTTCTTCTTCCAAATTGGGTCTGGAAAAGTTCCTTAATGCGCCGGCGACCCCACTGCCACCGCTGTGTGACCGATGCTTCATTTTTGGCTGATCCTTCATAGCAGCCGGTCCCGCAGGAGCTCCAAGCGTAGCTCTAGAAGCCGCTAAGAGTCCTCGCAGCGATGTGGTCGATGTGTTTGCACTCTTGTTGTACCATTTTGGTGTTGTGCGTCCAGAACCGGTTGGGCTTCCGGCGCTCCCCATGCTGCTGCGGTGCTCATGGCCAAAATTATTCCCATGGCCCCCTAGTGGGTTATACAGCTTCAATAAACTCCCGAGAACACCTCCACGAAACTGGCTTGGAGGCTGGACATAGTCCTCATGTTGGTGGGCCACGGGGGTTACGGTTCCCGACCTCTGGCCATGGTCCGGGGTTTCCGCTCCGCCGGCCCTGGACCTTCCGTTCAATACTGCAGATCCCCGCGCTGTGTGCTGTATAACTAGTTCATGGGCCTCCCTGATAGCCGTTACCTTGTTCCTTTCGGCCCCTGTTGGATCGTTATAGTCCTGCGGTAGGGCATTCCCAAGGTCCAGCAACGGGATATCGTCAACAGGCACTCCCCCCTGGGCCTGGCCAGCACCAACACTATATGCAGCGAGGGCTGGTGAGCTACGCACTGAGCTCGGAGCCGAGTAGCTCCCAATTGTTCCTAGCCTAGCTGCTCTCTCTTGGAATGTTAATCGGTCGTTCTCGGCGAATCCGTCGTATCCCCCACCGAGCTCCGAGTCCCCATTGTTACCGTTAAGACGGAACGCTCTTGGTGGCGCCTTCAATGGAAGAGCGGGAATTTTTGTCGGTGCGTCCGTGATATCAATTGGTGGACCGAAGCACCCGGTGCGGGCATATATATGATCAGACGGTAAGGTATTCGACGGGGTTAGAGCGGGAGAATCGGGAACCATGTCATCGCTACCAAAAGATTGGCAGTTTTCTGGAGACCGAAGGTTGAAAGTATGCCTGTTGTTTTGGACGTCCAAGACCTCCCCGGAGCCAAATCGTACTCTGTGATTGCCACGGACCCGCTCGCCATTGGAGCTTCCTGGTTGACCACCACCATGGCTAGTGTTTGCTGAACTGCCTCCGGCTTCCGATGCCCTCGGGCCATCAATAAATGGGCCCGCGGCCAATATCGAAGAAGCTGGAAGGTTCGACATGGCCTGTGTGTAAATGAAAGGCTTATCCGGTAAACCGGAGTACCTAGGTGTTCAATTGATGCGAGAGATGGTGGTCAGAGGTAGCAATAGGTGTCGGGTGTATAAGTACAAGTGTAATGTCAGGGAGTTCAGGAGACGGGAGAGGCGAATACAATTGCGCCTCAAATGTTTTTAGACCAGAATACCGGTAGACAAGTGTAGAAAAATAAAAATAAAAAAGTGCCCCAAACGGACAAACTCGCTAGTCCACCCGTGCACTGGGGGGTATACTTTCCCAAGTGGAATACCACGGTATAACTTCCAGGAAGTGAGATACAAAGAAAAGATGAATGAGGGGGAGGAGAGAAAGAAGACGAGGAAAGGAGCAGGAGTGAGGGAAGCAAAAGACCGAGAGGCCCGGAATAGATGGAATATGTATCCTTCATGGTAGACGGGTGTGCGTAGTCTACGTAGCTAGCGTTGGTAATTTGCTCTATCGATGGATAGAGAGGGTTTCCCACATACGGGTACCTGTGACTACCACCATTACCATTAATATCTTGGAACAGAGGATATAGCAGGAACCACGGAAGCCATTCCCTACTACCGTAAAGCGCGGGCAATACACTAATATCGGACACAAAAAAGGGCCATCTTTGCCAATCTCCTCTTCACGGGCTCAGCACTCTCGGCTTCCAGCGTTTTGGCCTGCGGGAAGCCTGGGCCATTCGCCCAGAGGCGCAGATGCGTCACAAGCGATCCCAGGCCAGGCCAAGACGAAGGTTTGATATCATGATTCCGAGAAGGTACGGAAGTGGTGAGCACCGGTAAGGATGCCGTAGCAAAGCGTAAACCCTGATCAGATCCGCCTTGAGCTCCTTCCCACCCGCCGGTCCCGGAACTTGGGAGCCATTGGGCTGAGCTCTTTCTTCACTTTTCCCTTTCCCCTTTCCCCCAATGCGTAGGGATCTGTTGGATAGGCTTCCAGTTTTGGGGGGAGCGTTAGCCCGGAGGTTCCTTGCCGATGTCCAAGGAACATGATAACGGTCGCTTCCCTAGCGCGGAAAAACTGGTCCAGGTCCACGTCCTGGATCGGGACGGGCTGGATCTCCCCCCCCCATTGGCGTGCGGCCCTGTGGGACGTTTTTGAGCCCGGAGGTTTGTGATTCAGGGATAGGGAGGAGGGGCTTGTCGTGAAAAGCCTTGCGCCGGATGGCTGCGGTATGGCGGACACGCACACACAGTTGATGGTCCACCCGAGCAGACTATCGTGCCATCCCGCAGTGGCATCGATATAAAATATGAGAGGGAAAGCTTGTCTTGTCTCCAGAAGCCCATACCGGCGCTGTAGGCGCGCCAGCTGGATCGCCCAGGAACGGACAGGGTACGATGGTAGAAAATGCAGATAACCAGTTCCCCCGAGAAACATATGATACCACGGTACGGGTGCATCACCCATCACCAGCCAGTACGGTAGGTAAACTTACCAATACGCACAAATACAATTCCATTCCAGCTCAGCCCCTCAGAACGGCCATGCAGGTAGAGCATGGCCAAAGCTCTTCTCATGTATGATACCGTGCCTACGGGAATCGTGCATTATCTGTCAACCCTGTGCCTATAGGGTACAGTACCCATACCGTAGTCTACCAACCCCCACCCCCCAAAGTCAACGCCACAATTGAAGCGAGGGAAAAGGAAAGAATTTTTTTTTTCATTTTTTAGAGACATAAATAGTAATTCCCTCGCATCACTCCCCCTCCTTCATGCCCACGCCGCTGGGACATGCCCACCACCCTTTCCTGCCTTGCGTCCTTCGATAACTACTCGTGCCTCCGCGCCAAGAATTGGCACCTCTTTTGGAATAGCTTCCACCGGGCCATAGAGAGTATCCCTTACCCTGTTGCCGAATTTCAAGGCACCGTAGCGCTGGTAGGTCTTGGCCGACAAGGATGTGTTTTTCCGGTGGGTGGTGGGCTGTCCTGAAGGGTCCTCAGAAAATCTCGTTTCTGTCATGGCCATGCTAATAGGTACTTTAAGGGGGTGTTGGGCTGAGAATGCACAAACCGAGTAACACTCAGCATGGTCATGATCGGAGCCTCATCCTCTGTGCACATTTAATCACAATTGCCCCAGTAGGCTAGTACTTAGTAGTCTGGACAAGGGCTGAAGGTCTGCCAAGTG